CCACCGCCGCCGCCACCACCACCACCCCCACCACCACCACCCCCACCACCACCACCACCACCACCACCACCACCAACAACCAATCAACCAAAACACCGCCAAGACCGAGGCATTGGCCTTGCCGTTCCCAGACTTCATCACCGACGCTGTGTGCCTCGGCCGTGACTTTGCCAGCCGCAATGTAGGCGCACTTCTACAACGAGGCGGCCTGCCACGTCCAGGCAGGACAGTAGTTGGCTTTTGGAACAGGACCTTCTGCTTGCTTATGCTTAGGTGCTCAATTTAAATAATGTATCACTTTGCTACAACATCATCGGCTCTACTCATGTTGTTGTGGTTGAGGACGAAAGCAATGCCTTGGCCAAGGCTCAAGGCCACCGCCACTTCCTGCTTGTGCAGCCGTGCTTCTCAACATAGCAGGGGAAACCGCAGTGGTCAGGTCAGCGCCTGTAATGTGCCCACTGGCCTTGGAACCTCTGGCCTCATGCATCCTCATGCCTTGCTAGACTGCCACTGCAACCAAGCAAAGAGCTGGCACCTCAGCGACCGCCCAGGATTCGTTCGTTGGTGGGGACTTTGGTGTGGTTCCCATGGCGCTGACACAGACTAAGCGCATGTGCCAATTGCAAGTGGTTGAAAAGCGTCACTTGACTACTTGTGATGCGATCAAATGGAAGCATGGCCCAATCTCCAATGGAGAGCCATGTTGAGAAGCAGAGCAACACAAAAGAAGTCATCAAAGAATGCAAGACGCACAAGGGCGAGACTGGAGCAGGGCTGAACTTGATGTCCATGGATGAGGCTTCACCTGACTGGACTGCAGGCCATGTAGGCCACTTCCAAAGAAATTCCAAATACCTGCCGATGACCAGCACGCCTGCTTCCAGGGGGTGGCCGATGCTTCTCGGCCTGGAAAAAGCTGTTGTTTTGAACTTCACTCTAACTGGTGCTTCCACTGGTCAGCATTGTCAGCTTTCAGGATGCTGGCGTAAACGGAGGCGCATCCGGCATCACCTGCCATGTCGATGGAAAGCTCTGCTCGATGCATCCCGCCGACAACGGGCTTCGCTGGCCTTCATGCAAGCTGGACTGGAGCGAGCAGTTCCAATCGGCAGACCACTACCTTTGCAGCGTCTGCAGCTTGTACACAGCACGGATTCTGGTTGCAGAGGCCAGGACGAGCCAAAGTAGCGTCTGCCAAACCCTTGTGCGCACTCCGCTCACACAAGGCGCTCGCACATGGAGCTGAACAGTGACCCAAGGCAGAAGCTGTACCCAGCTGACGAACCAAGACGGATGATGCAGCACCAAGCTCACCAGCCAAGCATTGCGCCTCGCACTCTCATGTCGCCAGCATTGCAAGGTGCAATCCTGAACATTGCTCTTCATGTACATGTACCAACATGCACACCTTGAAGCAAAGCGACTCCACATGGTCACTCAAGTAGCTGCCCAGCCTGTCAAACAATTTGAAATTCTGGAATACCCCCTCGTCTCACACAAGTCGAGTCGACAGTCGCTGTCAGCAACTTCTAGGGGAGCAGCGTATCTGCATCTGCATCAGCCTCAGCATAATTAAGTTTCCCAACATTCCCAACCTACCCGCATCTGAGTAGCCCTGTCAAGCTGCAGAGCTACGTAAGCTCCACTCTGGCAAGGTTCCACCAATCGAAGCAAGCTTTCCCATCAGGCGCTCAAGAAACATAGCTGCAGAAACTCCAGGGATAATGCATGACATTCTTCACTTGCTGTGCTCATTGGACATGAACTCCGGTGCTGACCTTGAACTGATTGAACTGACTTCTGTCCAGCATGGCTTCTGCTCTTGGCTTGAGGCCCGAACCTTCAGCGGCTGACCTGGCAAGTGCAGTCATTGCTTGAACCAGCTGTGAATGCATGTGCCCTTCATGCTTGAATGAGTCCGTCCTGGCACTTGCACTGACCGGATCTGCAGCGTAGGAACTCATCCTTCGAGGAAGGTCCTCACCTGCAGTTTAACTTCCCAGCAATAAATGCAATAAATGCAATAAATGCAGCTCCAGCCATGCAACCAAGAGCTTTGGTGCTAGGAATCTAGGCCTCTGATCAGTCAAGTTACAAGTGGCATTCTCAGCAAGACATGGCGTGAGCATGACCCTGCAGAATTCCAGATGAAGCAATCTTTTGAAACGCGAGGGGGCAAAGTTCTGGCTTGAAACTAGTACTCGTATCTTGCTCGCTTATTTCGAGCACCCCACTCATTGTCTCCTTTGTTGCTCTTTCCTTTGCCTTTACCTTTCTGAGGGCATTCTCTCGCAAAGTGTCCTTGCCGGCCACAGCGGAAACCTTGGGGTGCAACAGATACTAGCTTAAACTTCGGTAAGTTTGTAAATGAAGAACCGAATCAAGGTGGCCAGACATAGGTCGGGCAGACATCCGTTCCAAGCCAGCTAGCTTCCATTTGAAGGCTTGTTTGTTTTTGTGACAAACAAAGAACGAAAATCAATGAGCTCTGGTCATCGGCATGTGGATTGCACATAAATTTGAAAACCTGATATATCAAAAAATCTAGCACAAAGAATGTCGGGTGAGGGGTCAAAAAAAACTTTACATGATCAAAAAATATCATACGCCCATCGCCTCTAAAAGAATTCTTGCACTTAAATGAAGAGGGGCAAGAAAAGCAATGGACCCAGAAGTAATTGAATATTAAATCATGATTTCAAAGTTCTCCTTCGCTACCTTGTTCAACATACCCTTGGGGCAGTTAAATCAGGATTAACTACAGTCAGGGCTTGGACCCTCTCGTCGCCGTGTTCTCTTGGAAGACGAGCATTACTATGGTCAGGGCAGAGATGCATCAGAGGGCAAGGGCGACGGGCGTCAACTGAAAGAAAGAGTGCCAGAACCCCGGAGCCCATGAAACTACAAGAAGTGAATCAAAAAGCAGAAGCGCTCCAAATGAGGGTACAGTGCGCAAGGCGTTGGCTACTACTACTACTACTACTACTAATACTACTACTACTACTACTACTACTACTACTAGTACTAGTAGCCGCCCCCCTAGGCACTACCTTTTACTTAAATCTAAACATAAATTTCCCGAGGAGGCGGCCAGTA